ACCTATTGTCGCGTATCGGGCGTATATCGCGACAAATAACTTCACGCCGTATTTTGTATAGCGAATTTTATTTCACATTCGCACTTACAATCACCCAAATTACAGATTTACGGTTACTGCTATCTGCAGTATCACAATTAGTACACTCCAAATGCCAGAATACAACTGACTAGTTGCTGGCTAACTCGGCGGTAGCTCCAGGACTCACTGACTGACTCAGTACAACTGACTGTGAATAGCCTTCGCTGCTCCCTATGTAGCCTCGATCGGACAATACGGCCACGTAATAGGCACCCTTGTTGCGTCACCGCTGTTGACTCGCCTTGTGTAGTTACCAGGTTGCGGGGGCTTGGCTATCTTCGGCTCCGCTTGTGACGTCACCGCGCATAGCTGCCAGGATGCGGGGTGATTACTCGCCTATTACGCAAGCGTTACGTTACCGCTATGTGCAGCTGGGGAGGTAGGGGTCAACATGTCACAATATATATATATATACGATTGGTACTAGGAATAATGATCATTTTCATGTACCTGATTCTCGTTTATCATCTTACCAGAGAGGTGTATATTTGAATTACTCAGGTATAAAGCTATTTTATGTATTACCTAACAGTATCACAATTTTGAGAACAGACAAAAATCATTTTAGGAAGGCTTTACTAAGATATCTGCTAAGAAATTCTTTTTACTCTATCGAATTTATAGAGCATACAAGGGTTACAATGATAGAGGGTAAATAAATGGTATGAGTAAACATATTGTAAGTTACTCCCTTTGATTTTCATTTCATGTATCCTGTTGTGTTGCAATATACAACCTCTTTATTACAACCGTCACAATGTCGTATGCCACACTGTCGGGCAACAGAGTTGATACTCGTACTTGTGGGTTGGTCTTGACGGAGTCGGTCGAGTGGCAAACGTTGTCCGTTGTTTTGGTGAGATAAACTGCTGTAAGATGCTTAATTCAAGAGAGTTTATTACACAGTAAATATGTACAACTGTATGGTTAACATATGTACTATAACTTCTGTTTTATATAATCTGATTTATTGTATTTTTGTGTCAAGTGTTTTATATAATTAATACTATTGTATCCAATTTTACTAGTACTGCAGTTCAGTGGTGTATATATGTTAACCGTGTATTTGCCTGATGATGGATATTGATAGTCAAAACATGTAGCGGAGCCGAAACTAGGCACTAATCTTGATGTTTGTTGTGTTGTGACGGTTGTAATAAACAGGTTACTCCCTTTGGTTGGATTTAATAGTGGCTGTACTGATTAATTTAACACTTAACAATTCTAGTCAGTTAAGCCTGAGAATGGACTTAACATGTATGTATTTTTCTAAATGGGAAAATTGGACTGACAACTTGTGCTATTTGCATGAGGCTCTATCTGCCTTATATATATCTTCATATATTATATCTAAAATTTTATATGTTATATTTAATATTGTATATTTATATTTATTGCATGTGATCTTTTATGTAAGACTTTGTATGTGACAAATTTTATATCCAGCCCTACTGGGTAACAACTGGATCTATGAAATGTAATTACAAATAAATAAATCTGCTGTCAGCCTCCCACAAGCAGCCTGGCCCACACGATACCTGCCATGATAAATTAGTTTTGCTATCTACGAGGGGGGACCCAAAAATAACCGGAAACGACCTGTTGAGCGCGCATGCTTTATAGTTACGAGTTGTGCTGCTAGGTGGTGTTAGCTGGGGGTCTCCCGTGACTGTTAGTGAGCTGGCGTCAGTCTGAGTTAAGTGGTTTGTCTGTGGTGCTCTGTTGTGTGCGTTCCTGTTTCAACCCTTTGGCGATTAGTGAGATGGCCGACCAGAAGGAACAAAGAGTGTGCGTGAAATTTTGGTTTCTGTTAGGGAAAACTGCAGCCGAGACTGTTGGGATGCTTCGGCAAGCCTTTAATGATGATGCTTTGGGGAAATCACAGGTCTACGAGTGGTTTTCCCGTTTCAAATCTGGCAACATGTCAACAGAAGACATGCCACGCCCCGGGCATCCTTCGACAGGAAGAAATGACGAAAACATTGCCAAAATCAAACATGCAATTGATGAAGATCGTCGAAAGACCATTGACCAACTTTCTGAGGAAACGAACATCTCATGGAGCACGGTCCAGCGAATTTTAACCGAAGGTTTGCACATGAGACGGGTGTCTGCAAAATTTGTTCCTCGCTTGCTCGGAGATGACCAAAGAGAAAACCGCGTGAATGTTTGCCGCGACTTGAAGAGTGAAGTGCAGTTTTCCCTAACAGAAAGCAAAATTTCACGCACACTCTTTGTTCCTTCTGGTCGGCCATCTCACTAATTGCCAAAGGGTTGAAACAGGAACGCACACAACAGAGCACCACAGACAAACCACTTAACTCAGACTGACGCCAGCTCACTAACAGTCGCGGGAGACCCCCAGCTAACACCACCTAGCAGCACAACTCATAACTACAAAGCATGCGCGCGCAACAGGTCGTTTCTGGTTATTTTTGGGTCCCCCTTCGTATGCATTGGGATTTTTCACTTTGTGACTACAGGCAATGTGTAGGTCATTGTGGGTTTAATTCTTTTGTTTTCTTTAATTCTTGTTCATGTTGTTGATAAGTTTAATGTTTTACGTATTTTTTTTTATTTTCATCCACTTGTTACATGGGTAATGCTTGTAGTTTTTATCTTCAAATGCCTATAGAATAGATCTTCCACTGCTGGTTTAATGCCTGTCACATTTTCCTGGGCACTCTCCTTGTATTCAATCCACCACAGTCAGCTGAGTTGCTGATAAACAAATAAACAATCAGGCAGTGTGAATGAGGACTGGGAAACAAAGTTAGAACCCCTTTGCATTTCTTTTGCATAGATGGGAAACAATAATGGTATTATATGTACATTCACGATCTTCATACTTTATAGTAACAGGCACACATGGAGTAACAGCATCAAAAGTCATACAGGGGACAAATGAAATGATCCACAGTTCTTCTTGACTCTGAAACACAAATGTATAGGGAAGTGTAAACCATGTGGTAAGGAGATTCCTCTAAGTACCATATGATTACCATGTAAAGGTAAAGTTGTCCCTATGCTTAACTAATTAAGCATTATGCCATGAGGGCATATGGAGGAGTGGATGTATAGATCCACGTTTTCTTGGCAGTGGCACTAGCTGGAAGTGAGTGGTCAGCTTCATGCCCCAGCTGCTATACCCCAGGGAAAAAGTCCCTAGTAACCATTGTATAGGAGGTTGGGTGGACCACAGGGCTGGTCTGGATGATGAGAAGGGAAAATTCTTGACCCTACCAGGACTCAAACTCTAACCCCTCAGTCGTGCAGCCCATAGCTAGTTGCTATATTGGCTACACTATCATGACCCCTGAATGAATCTCACTGAAAGGAAACATTTTCTGCATATATGGAGGAGGGGACTGCCTCTGTGGTCTAGTGGCCAGCGTTCCTGGCTACAGATCCAGAGGTCCGGGTTCCATTCCCGGCACTATCAGATTTTTTCAGAGAAGCAGTGTGTCTGGAATGGGGTCCACTCAGCCTTGTGATGATAATTGAGGCTCCGGTCTAGAAAAGTGAAATTAACGGCCATGGGGATTTGTTGCGCTGACCACGCAACACCCTCTGTCCGCAAAAGTTGGGATTAAAACATTGCTGACAAGCAGCGGTTGCTCAGTCGGTATGGTTCGCTTGCGGACTGAAATCATGAAGTTTGTTTTCATATGGAGGCAGGCATTGTGGTTAAGAGAGGGGAAGGGAGGGGGAAACTTTCAGTCATACAAATTTTGAACACTGTAACAGTAAAATCTTATTATGCTACTGGGAATGTGACCGAAAAGAATAAAAATTTCTTACATGCTTTTTGCTGTAGAATGAATTGGGGGGGGGGGGGAAGCTGAGGATATGGACCACCAATCAGATGTATCAGTCCGGTCACATTGTGGAAAAATAACAGAGACAAATGAAAGTGTCATTAGGTGTTCGTATTTGAGGGGAACAGACATGTGCCTGTATTACCAATCTCAACAGAATATAATTTCTTCTTGCCCACATACTAAAGCACACATTAAACAAGAACTCATTCTGTTGCTTGACTCTGATTATGTAATTTCATCTGACAATGAAATTCAGCTTGATAAGGACATGAGAGCAGTGGGTGATTATATTAATCTATAAATATTATTTCATACAATGATTTTTGTACTACTATAGTCAATAAGTTCGTGGAGTGGTCGCAAAGCATCGTTGCAGTGCAATACAAATACTACAGCAGATAGGTTGAGGCATGATATGATGACCTGTCAGTTCATCTCTCGTCACAGCAAGACGCAGCTGTGTACAAACAGTGTAAGCAGAACTATGGCCTCTATTGTGAAATGCAGTTAAATGCAAGTGGTGGAAATTGAAAGTGTCAGTTTGAATGGGCAAACATCAAATTCTGTCAAAAACTAGGCAAATCGCCCAGCGAAACGTTTGGCTGTTGGTAAACAACAGCACTGCACATTGCTTTGTTCTTGTCCGAGAGAAACTGGCAAGGCAACAGGTCATCGTTTTGCCACACCCTCCGTGCTCACCTGATCTCACACCATGTGATTTCTTTCTCTTTCACCACTTGAAAGCAAAGCTACGTGGTCATAGATTTCAGTCGTCTGAGGAGGTCATCAATGCTACAAGAGACGCCATATGGGAATTTTCTGCCAATATGTTTCAGCAATGTTTTCGGCGGCCATATCAAAGTTGGCAGACTAGCATAGCGGCGAATGGCAACTATTTTGAGGGCCGATGTGGGTCTGTGTAAGTGTATGTGAATACCTTGTAATATGATGCGATAAACCCACAGTCCACGAACTTAATGACTGTACCATGTAATACAGCATGTACTTTAACATGCGAGACCAAGTTTCATGCCCATACAAAACAACAACTAATGTTTCATACTTTTCTTGACAGTAGAAGGGAAAAAAGTATGAATCAATCCCCATATTTAATCTGCACTACATTTCTTTGCATATGCCATTTTATTTTTGAGGCTTGAAACATAAACACCAGTGGCTATGAATATTGCCATGTGTATGAATGACTGTGCTTTTGTCTAGAAAACTGAAATTAATGGTAGTGGGGATGTGTTGCGCTCACCACGCGACACCCTCTATCCGCTAAAGTTGGCAGTAACTTCTCCGACAAGCAGCGGCCACTCGGTTAGTATAGTTTGCTTGCGGACTAAAGCCCGAAGTTTTTTTCTATCTTGTTGTATGAATGACTATAGATGGGGTTTGGATTGGTGAACAGATTTATTGACCAGTAACAGTTGTAACTACAAACAATAATTACACCATTGCTGATATCCACACTACAGATCACTCAACACTAAGTCTTCTCAATCTGTTTCCACTAGTCTTTACTAGGTAACAGCTTTCCACAATGGAAATTCCTCCAGACATAGCCTGGTAATGAATCTTGGCAACAGAGATTATTCCGCTTCTGCTGCCTACTGGTTAACACTCCTCAGGTGAATCCTCAACTGCACTGCACTCACTCACTCTCCATTTTCTTCTCATTTGATTATCTTCTGTACTACTTATACAGTCTCAGGGCAGACCTACAGAAAACACTGCCTGCAACACCTTTTCTATTGTTGTGTGACATCACCGTGCTGCAGGCGCTCCATAGCAATGGTAGTACATGTAACATATCATGACACTTCCTCCACTGTTGTGTGTGGGCATTACCTAGCAATGGCTGATGTTTACAGAGTCACCACCAAGCAATGGGTCTATATGCCACAATATTATAGTCTTTTGGGATATGACACTGTAGTTTGCTAGATGGGTACCATACTACATGGCATCAAATTCTAGGAGAGAGCAACCTTCCCATTCAGAATTTTATTTCATGTATGCTAAAACTGAATCAAGGAAAATGGAACTGGTACTCCACAAGCAATGTGCAACAAAACACAATTTTCTAGAGGCACACAGATACACAACTTACCTCACATTCAACTTTTATTCCTGGTAATGTTATTAGCAGAGGATCCTCCAACTCCTGAGTGTCTGAGTTCTCCTCAACTTTTATATTGATCTGTTTCTCATCATGAGAAGAAGATGTCTCACTAATCAAACCAGGTTCCACCTTCACAAAATCCACACAGTTCTGTAAAACCATCATGCCTTCATCAATCATGCCTCTGCTCCTTCATCACATAACACAGGATATACTTTCATTGCAACTACGAAGGACGTTCCGTAAATAATGCCTATTTTTCTGTGTTAATATGTAACGTCTGAGCTGGATGTTGGTGGTGTTGTAGTAAAGGTTGAACCTTCCCGCCAATGTACTGTTAGTTTGGTTGTCGTGCGAAAGATAGCGACAGTAGAGCAGTCTACCAAAATGGTGTCTGACATAGAAGTGTGTATGAAACAGAGATGTGTTATTGAATTTCTCACTGCCGAACAAATTGTACCCATTTACATCCACAGACACTTGCTAAAGGTGTACGGAGACAATACAGTGGATGTCAGCACAGTGAGGTGGTGGGTAGTGCGTTTCAACAGTGGCAAAAGTGAAATGCAAGACAAGCCACGCCCTGGGCGTTCCTGCTCAGATGCCACTCCTCACAATGGACAGCACCTCATCCATACAGATCGGCAGATAACGACCAGGGAACTGTGTGTATGGCTTAATATCGGCTGTAGTACATTGGAAATGAAGTTGGTGAAGCTGGATTATCGCAAAATTTGTTTCAGGTGGGTCCTGCGGATGCTTACACAGGGCCACAAAACTCATCGAACTGAAATTTGTCAGGACCTATTGCACCAGTTTGAGGCTGAAGGTGACAAGTTTCTGGACAGCATTGTCATCAGAGATGAGACGTGGTGTCACCATGAGCTGGAATCCAAAAGACAGTCCATGGAGTGGCGACATCTGGATTCCCCAAGAAAAAAGAAGTTCAAGACACAGCTATCGGCAGGGAATGTGATGTGCACGGTCTTTTGGGATAGGCGGGGTGTGATTTTCTTGGATTTCCTGGAGCCTGGTGAAACTGGCAATTCTGAAAGCTACAAGACGATGCTGACTAAGCTGAAAGCCCACATTTCCCGAGTCAGGCCAGAGAAGCAGACAACCTTTCTCTTGCAACACGATAATGCTAGACTCCATACCAGTCTGGCGACCACTGCGCACATTGCAAAGTTTGGCTGGACTGTCCTACCACATCCACCTTACAGCCCCGGTTTAGCACCTTCAGACTTCCATCTCTTTGGGCCTATGAAAGATGGACTACGTGGGCAACATTTTTCAGACAATGATGCTGTCATCGCAGTTGCAAGAAAGTGGGTAGCCTCTGCTGGCGCAGACTTTTATGGGCGCGGCATACAGGCTCTTGTTCATCACTGGCAAAAGTGCATAACGAATGGTGGTGATTATGTGGAAAAATAGCTGTAAGTAGCTGAAATCTTGCTCTATTTAACTGCGTTATTATGCTTTCTGTATCTGTTGTAGTTTTTTTTAAAAATAGGAGGCATTATATACGGAATGCTCCTCGTATCTTGCAATTCAGCCATCCAGCTGATAATAACGGTTTTGTGCAACTTTCTCATTTACAGCTAACAAAAACATAATTAAGAAGTGACTTCATGAGAAGAGGCCTCCTTGAGAAGCCAATGGCAGTTCAGACTAGAAATATCATACCATTTATTTAAAGGGATATAAACATTCCTTACCAAAGATAGTTTCAGAAGTTGTGAAGCCAGTGCTTAATAGTTTGGCTCATCTGGAACTGCTGCAAAACTGTGTCCCCAGTAAAGTATCTGTGGCTAATGAAACATCAGCAGTGACTATTTATACTGCTTTAGCATTCAATAATGGAAAAGTCTGCTGGATGAGAGTTCTGAGGTAATGAGGGAATCAACCTTTCGTTCAACATGATTAATATCTGACATGAGATCCATAATCAAAGCATAAGAAAGTCAGAGATAGATGCTGAGGCTGTCTCCAAAGAAACTAGAAAAGTACTGAGGAACCTACAGAGAACCAGAGATGATATTGGATGCATGGCACTGATGATCTAAAATAGCGTTTTATCTTTTCATACAGACTTTCAGACATGTGTGACACATAACATCAAGATGCTACTACATACTTTTCTATCGAAAATGATGAAGATGATTAGTATTTTGGAAGAAAAATTACAAAATATCTGTTTACATTATCATGAAAACACTTGAGCCACGTTTCGCTCTGCTACCACTTGAGCCGCTTCCTCTGCTACCACTTGTGCCGTCTGTCCGCTCTGGGACTATATGTACCACTTGTACCGTCTCTCTCTGGCACCTTTCGGCTCCGTCTACCTTTCCTCAATCGGAGGGGGAAACGTTGCTCCGTCATACGGCTCTCGTGCTGTGCTCGCACGCTCCCTAAGTTAGAGTAAGGGATCCAAGCTAGCAGCGAAGTAAATGTAGTTACAAATGATGGCAATCAATATATTAACAAATAACAGAATTTAATATACACAACAGAAATTAAACAGAACAACTGAACTAACTGCACATTTACATGCTCGCACACAGCGGCATCTAACTCGGGCAGAATGGCCCATATTACTGGCGCAACAATTTGCCTTGGTTGCTTGAAAACATAACTACTACATTATAGCCGGGCCACAGGCTGAGTCTAAACTAAATACACAATATAAATTATAAAAACAGATTTAACCAAACTGGTACGAGTCGCCGCCGTCCTACAAACCCAACGACGGGCGACCGCGGGCGATCTCGTCGGCCGCGAACCAGCCCAGTACTTGCCGAAACCAAATTTGGACTCCCAGCCGAACAGGAATTTGACAGTCGCTCCGGCTGGCTCGGCGCCGCGAGCAAGGCCCTATGGATCCATAACCAGAACTGAACTCCGAACTCGAATTAACTTCCAAGTAAGGCTCCCAGGGATAGAAAGGAGGGGAGAGGGCAATACCACGTGACCCAGTCCCGCATGGGGATGGGGTGGGGGATAAGTTTAAGAACCTCGATCAAGGGGCTGGAAGCCCATGACATCATACCGGAGCCACTGCATGGCTCACACTCAGAATACCCATAAATACCTGTGCACCAAATTTCAGGACCACAGAGTGTGTAATTGTTTAAAAAAACATATTTTGATATGACAAAATTAAAAATGTGGAAATGGGGCTCACCATCTCCCTTACAAAATGCAATTGGTACTCCCCAAGCAATGTGTAACACAGTACAGACCTCTGGTGACATTTTCTACAGAACTTTTCAAAATCCACACAGAAGAGTGAAAGTCTTTCATTTGAAGAGAGAGACAGTGGAAGATCAGAAAGACTACATGATTCTGGATATTTAAGAAATGTGCCTAACAACAGACATGCAGAATCAGTGTTTTTTGGATATTACCAATTGTTTTGTTTCTTTTATTTAAAACATGAATAAATAAACAACATAATAATTGTACTAATATACTATCATCATAAAGTTTTTGAACAGACATGCAGACATACAACTCACCTCACTTTCAGCCTTTATTCCTGGTAATGTTATAAGCAGAGGATCCTCCACTTCTTCAGTATCCGAGGCCTCAACTTTTATGTCAATGACCTGACCTCCATTGTGAGATGATGGATATATTTCACTACTTGAACCAGATTCAACCTTCATTAAGTCCATTGAGTTCTGTAAAATCATCATGCCTTCATCAATCATGACTGTGCTCTCACATTATACGAGATAAAGATTCACTTTCAATACAACAATTTCGCACAACATTGCTGGTAATAGCAGATCTGTGTAGACTTCCTGGGTGTCTCTTCCTGTTTAAGACACACAATACAACAAGAAGAGACATCCGGCACCATAAAATACATGAGCATGTAGATGGTACAGATCGAATATCAGAACCACAAAATGGAAGTACAGCAGTTTCCACCAACAATTTTAAACATTTGATGATAACCAATGTCTGCCAAAACATGTACTGCAATGTAGAGAAGTTTTTAAATAAGGTTTATAAAGGCACTGTGTGTATATAAGAAACTTTTAAGTTTTCAAAGGATTCATCGCATGCAAAATGGTGAACCACTGAAATTTGTTGAATAATTCATATTCATGTGGAACAATGCTTAACATTACTGTTTGGTACATTTTATTCCTTGCATTTTACTGGTCAATGTCAGTTCATCTGAAAATTCAAGCAAATGCGGGCTCTTGGTTATCTGCATATGATTAGTCAGACTGCATGTCTTACTATGAGAGAACTCTAAGAATACTTATGAATGATGTAATGTGGGAACATTATATGTACCCCTAACAATTATCCTCGTATATTTCATGTCACACTGTATACTAACCTAAATAGGGGTATGCGGTAAAGTACTTAGTTGAGGCATTATGCTACAGCTGAAAGGGTGCGTTCCAATGAGGTCACTGGATTTTTCAGATCCCCTGATTCTAATCTGCTCTTAATTTCTTGGTAAATGTGTTTTTCATTTGGTACTGCCATTCCAAAACATTGCAACTATGCCTCATTTTTAATGGTTATCAGTATATGGAGCAGGTACTGTCACACCACCTGCAGCCACTTATGTTCTTAAGGTTAGATCTTTGCCCCATCACTGAGCAGTAACACTGTTCCTCACTCACTGCATTCACCCTTTTTTCCTTCTTCTGACTCTCTACTCTCTGCTGTAAGTAACTCACTAAATGACTTGCAATGGAGTGCACTGCCAACTGAATGCTGACTCTTGTACATTTGTTCTGCATTGCACTCACTGCACTGAGCTCTCAAGGTGAGAATTTTGCAGCTAGTTTATAGGTGTGGTCATCCTTCAGAAAACTTCTAGTGACTTCTTGGCAACACTGGCCTTCAGTGCCTACAGCTCTAGATAAAGCTCCTTCCTACTGTTTAACAAATTTAATAACTGAAATCTTTTGTTTCTGTGTGAATCTCAGTGAGTGTGTCTACCTTTGGGGAAAGTGTACAAGAATGCTACAGCTTGGGAACAGGGTGACAAGAATATCTGGGTCTTCTATGTATAGAAGCAAAGCAGGTAGCTTTAAGATAAGAAGGTTCATAATCAGTAAACTTTATGTGGTACTGCTCTAATGATAGAAAGAAGGGCAGGGCTTGTAAACTGTTACGAGAAGTTCATACCAGAATACAACAGGAAGACTGTACGAGGGCGGACCCAAAAATAACCGGAACCGACCTGTTGCGCGCGCATGCTTCGTAGTTACGAGTTGTGCTGCTAGGTGGTGTTAGCTGGGGATCTCCCGCGACTGTTAGTGAGCTGGCGTCAGTCTGAGTTAAGTGGTTTGTCTGTGGTGCTCTGTTGTGTGCGTTCCTGTTTCAACCCTTTGGCGATTAGTGAGATGGCCGACCAGAAGGAACAAAGAGTGTGCGTGAAATTTTGCTTTCTGTTAGGGAAAACTGCAACCGAGACTGTTGGGAAGCACAGACCAGCGAATTTTAACCGAAGGTTTGCACATGAGACGGGTGTCTGCAAAATTTGTTCCTCACTTGCTCGGAGATGACCAAAGAGAAAACCGCGTGAATGTTTGCCGCGACTTGAAGAGTGAGGTGCAGTTTTCCCTAACAGAAAGCAAAATTTCACGCACACTCTTTGTTCCTTCTGGTCGGCCATCTCACTAATCGCCAAAGGGTTGAAACAGGAACGCACACAACAGAGCACCACAGACAAACCACTTAACTCAGACTGACGCCAGCTCACTAACAGTCGCGGGAGACCCCCAGCTAACACCACCTAGCAGCACAACTCGTAACTACAAAGCATGCGCGCGCAACAGGTCGGTTCCGGTTATTTTTGGGTCCCCCTTCGTATCACAGGAGATATAACAGCAGACTTTTGTTCAGGTGGAAAGGTAATATGATAAATAATCTCAGAAAAGCTAGCTGTAAAATACTACAAATGAATAAAAACTGAATGAATTCTTTTAAATGATTACCCCCATATAAATTTCTTCATGAATATAATTGTTTTTCTTATTGGTCACAATTATATATAATACACATACATTTTCAAACAACTTACTCCTGACTGCTATGAACATGAAGCTGATTTTTGATCTGAAATGTTTGAAGGTTTATATTTTATTTACACTTGTTTGATACAGTTCTGTCAAGCAACAGTTTTTAATACAAATATAAATCACTCCGTCCAATGTGACCTGTAAGTTTTTTACTACAAAAAAACTTAACACCCTTACATGTTTCGGTCTCTGTGGACCATCTTCAGAGGGCAAACATCACTACAAATAGGACACCACCATCGCATAAGTTGTTTAGACGTAAGGTACGTACGAAACATGCAAGGGTGTTAAGTTTTTATGTAGTAAAAAACTTACAGGTCACATTGGACGGAGTGATTTATATTTGTAATTGTTAGTGTGACGGACCAGAATGAAACAAATCAAACAGTTTTTAATACATCAAATGCAAGTTACATGTTATGACACAAGGTGAATGCCACCATCAGACGTCTTTACATGAATGTGTGAAGGATGGTGTTTGCACTCTAGTTGAGCATCCAGCATCCAGGCATACAAAGCTGCATAAAAAGAACACTTGTACAATTATAAAAACACACTAAGGCCTCAACATTGTCCAAATCAGTGAAAGCCAGATTTATAAAGTTTGTTTAAAACTTCCAGGTTTTTTGGAGTGTTAGAGTCTTATATTTTCCTTTAACACTCGTTTTAACACACGGAAAATGAGCTAATCAAACACTAAAATGAAAATAAAAAGTAGGCTCGCTGAAACACTGACACCCACTGTCCATGAAAAAATGTTTTAGGTTAGATCTCTTCATCTTGTGGCTCATTTTCTAGAGCGCTCTAACTTCAAATCTCTTTTGTTGGCAATCGCTGATCATGGCAGTGTGATCATCGAGGTTGTGATGCATCCCCCCCCCCAAAAAAAAGAAGTCCAAATTAGTGAGGTTTCTGTATAATTTAATAATTTTAACAAATTTTACTTAGTTGTATCCATTAAGTATGTATGCATGACGGGGCTCTCCTTCATAAGTGAAATAAACCAGCATTAAGACAGAAATGTCCTTCACATATCCATGTTAAAAATATTTGATGTAACATATCATAGAGACATTACAAGTTGCCAAAGTAAAATTATAATACAAATAAGACATATAAAAGGAAGAGGGCCTCTGTTATATGATTGTGAGGCCATAGGACTGAAGAGAGAAGAACAAAAGACTAGAAGTAGAGCATATAAAACAGTTCTATCAACTTACTAGGTATCACATATGTAGGTCACCAGTGAAATATACATAAAAAAAGTTTCCAGTAATGTTGGTGAAACTAAGGTCTGTGAATTTAACTTCCAGAAAAATGTATATAAAATTAGGCAACAAGATTAACAAAGAAGGCATTGGAATCCAAACCAATGGAGTGGCCAAACTCTGTAAAATCAAGGGAAGGGTGGACAACCAACTAAGGCATTCTAGAACCAGGCTATGAAGTGTGATGGGGATGACATATGAAAATAATTTATCTTGTGTTTGCATTCCCTATTAGTACATCTGTAAAATCTATCATAGTGTTGCAGCTTAAGAAGAGAGAGGAAAGACTGGTGCTGCACTGCAGCGGAAATAAAAATACTGTTCGCCACTGATTACCTACCAGAGAGGTTAAGTTAAGCAACTCTTGAAAGGTTGGGCAGCATTTACAAAAAAAAAAAAATATGACCAAAGTATAGATCTTCACTATTACAGAAAGTTCTTGTTGTATATAGGATGTGTGATTTGAATTTGATGTTTCAATCATGATTACATCAGATTCATCAGCCTTCAAACTGCCCAAGTGGCACTGAAATATTTCAATACTTCTTAAAATAAATGAAGCTCCCACATCCCTCCAGAGATACGTTTTATTATGAGAACAGTGGGTTAACATCATTAGCATCTGGATAACAAAAGCCCTGATTCTAGAAGCTTCAACTATTTTGGTTCAATTGCATCAGCTCAATGACAAAACAGAAAAAGAAATAACAAATTTCATTATATTCCCAGTACTATGAATGTGAAGTATAGCAACCCTTCATCAATTTAAATTTTAAAACTTTTAGAAACAGAACACTTTTTTATTACTATTTTTTGCCGATGTACATGTTAATACCACTGTTCTAATTTATAACACTTTGATTTATAAAATTCGTGTTCTGCTCCAGTACCATGAGGGCTGTGTGAAAAGAAAATATATGTCATGTTAAACCATCACCAAAACAGATGTATACTTGCTGTCAATATTTATAATTAAAACTTTATTTTGCTACATGTTTTGGTCACAAAGGTCCATCATCCAAATCATCCAACAGCTAATATGGAATATGTCTAGTCATTGAATTATTAATATGGATCCATACTAGTGCAACATGTCTCATACTATATGATAACAGAAATTTTGCTTCAAGTTAATAAGTATTACAATTAAGTATATAAAATAAAATTAAAAAAAATATATATATATATATATATAATGTATGTAGGATGTATTAAAAGTGTACACAAGTATGTTGATTATATTACAAACTATTAAGGTATTTAAAATATTAAGTGTATGTATGCCAAGGTAATTCTAAGGTTCATGTGCTACAGTGTAGTATTACGCACATTATCCTATTTGTGGATCCTTGTTGTCAGAAGCATTCACGTAGTAAAACCAGGTCATGAAGACCACGGGTAAGTGTCAGTGATATATAGGTTGCTATGAATGTGCGATGTTTTGGGTGCGCGTATTTCATGATATGGATCGTTATTATGCGATCATTAATATGATGTATGCATTTTCTAGTCTGGGGGTGTATATGTTACATATGTACTACACTGTGCATTGGTTCGATACAGACTGACCCATATGGCTGTTCGAATGACACACTGGCACTTGACCCCAAGCTGCATAACAGAACAAGCACAGTAGGGGAAAAGGGCACAGTGACATGTTCCAAGTGCAGAATCCACCCGAACAGTTCAAATAAACTCTCACTGAGTTCTGTGGTGCTGAAGGCTGTCAATCATCATATGGAAAAGTGTATCTCTCAAAGACAGCGAAGGCAGAGTGGTTTAATTAGTTTTGTTCAGGGCAACAAAGAATGAAGACCCTCCTTTGAAGGAAGCTGTTTGTTCAATCATTGTATGACTTCCATGTGTTTGGCTCCCCCTCTAGAAAGCAGTGACAGTAGTTTGATTTGGGTCAAACAAAACTTCCAACAGCAAAGTAGTGGCAGTGTGAGTGCAGCAGGAGGTTATGGAGCTCCATGAAGAGGATGTGTTGCCTGTTGCATCAATGGTATGCTTTCCTTCAAATCTGCACTGACTGTTGTCCAAGAATGTCCAAGTACAACAACAACCCTCATACTTCATATTTATGAAGTAAAAGTTAAGTTGTCCTTGTGCTTTACGTATTAAGCACTATACAGTGAAGGTGTATGAGTTGTGGTTGTATAGATCCACATTCTCGAAGTGTCTAACAATTTAATATGTTTCAGTCACTAGTGATGGATCCATATAAAAATTAGCGAGTATCTACTTAACTGATTCCAATTAGCTCTACCCTTAGAATAGCGATTCTTCACCTGACTGTTCAGTGGAGCTGAAATGTTGGGGGGGGGGGGTTAAGTACCGATTACTATTATTGTTTTGTCTGAATGTTTAAGAACACCAGTGAAATTCTAGTTTGCAGAGGAAATAGCGGTACAAGTTCCGTCCGTCTGTCCCTCCTTCCATCCCTGTCATCAGATGTTCACTTTTGAAATTGTAACTGAAAACATGCTCTTACACCTCCATTCTTTAAAAGAAAACATAAGCCTAACGTTATAACAAAGACTCTTGACTTTGGTCATTGTCTCGTTAACGTCTTCGTTATGAGAATTTAACACAAACACTTTTAATATACACAAACTGGATTCGGGTTATGAAGAAACGTTTAGAACTATTACCACAATGCTACATAACCTCTTAAGTGATAAAAATTTATGGAAGAGGATTTTAAAAATTATTCTCATTATACACACGTGTAAAATAACACGATCAGTTCATTAATTAACTTATATCGAAATTCAGTTTGTTTATTCTAGTGAGACATATAATATCGGCAAACCCAAACACTGACGAACATAATACAACCCATGCCAACATGACGAACATGACCGACACCTATTCTGAAGGATCTGAAGCGTGTTCACAAAGACATAACGTGATCGGAATCTCTCGGATGTCTCGGATGGGGATCGAACAGGGTTGCCAGTTGGTTTTAAAGAAAAGCGGCATATGTTTTGTGTGTGTGTTGATTCAGCTCGTGCAGTTACGTTGTGTACATGCTGCCTCCATCATCATGGTCGCAATGCGTAGGTTGCTGGGTTTCCGAGTTTCAGTTTCAGTTTATTGTAATATTCCATCAATCAAGAACAGGCTGCAAATGTCGCCAGTCTGACATAGAACCAGTCACAGATATACAATACACCAAATACTCGCATGCTTTGAATATTAAAGCGTCAGTCATACAATTACAAATCAAAACAACTCAACATAATACATTGTGAACTGGAAAATAAATCAGTCACTAAATACGATTAGCATTAAAGTATATTAAGGAAGAGCCAGCAAGAGCCCTCTAAAACATTTTACATTTAGTAACATTGATTACCGGTCCTTTCTAATTAGTTTAATAAAAACCTAAAATTTAAAATAAAAGTAGGAAGAGGCAAAATAGAATTACAATGATAAGTATACAGGGTGTTTCACGACTTTAGGGCATAACTGCAGGAGGTTATTTCCTAGGTCTTTGTGATCAAAAAAGTTCATATAAACATGTGTCCGATTTTGGACGGTTACGGAGTTATGACCGTTTTAAACTTAGAATAGAAGGTAACTATTACTGGCAATAAACGGAACAAAATAATAAACCAGCATAATACATGATACATTTAAAGTATGAATGTAAAGTTAACTTCGTGAAATTACCTTTAATTTGAATTGATTTGTGCTTAAAGCTGATTTTCGAAAATGCCACCGTCGGCCGCAACACAGGCTGCCGCTCGGTTGTGGACCGCGCGGGTAGCACGTAGCAGCTTCAGCTGGCTGTCTTTATGTGGTCAGCGGCGTCCAGAATGCGACCGAGCAAAGCATCTCGCGTTGCCACCTTCACATTGTAAACCACTTCTCGTACGTAGACTGCGGTGTACCATACGAACAATGCCTTCTTTATTGACGCCTTCTTTAACACCACTCTCGGCTGCAATACGAACGCCGGGAAGTCTATAGGTATCTCGCAATGCCTGGTAAACTCCAGTAAACACTCTCCGGTTCGGTATTCTACGATTCGGAAACCGTTGCTGATTTTCAGCTACGGCAAGAACTGAGTTACCGTCACAAAACCCGTACACATAAATCATATCTGCATACTCCTCAAATGAAAATGTAAATGGCATCGTGAACGTAACAGACGGACCGAGATGAGAACTGTTCTGAACACGAGTAGCCGCCACAATAGCCGTGTCCTTACATACCAACGCACCACGCCTCTCAAGTGTCGAGATAAAGAGAACGCTCTGTCTGTAGCTGGTTAAAAATAGCGATCTGCCAGATGATAGACGCGGTTCACACGAGGGCGTGTACGGGAATGAAAAACGGTCATAACTCCGTAGCCGTCCAAAATCGGACACATGTTTATATGAACTTCTTTGATCACAAAGACCTAGGAAATCACTTCCTTCAGTTATGCCCTAAAGTCGTGAAACACTCTGTATAGTATCATAAATACCGAATGGAATAGAATATTCCATTTTATTTATTGTTAAAAAAACTCCTGCAATGAGTAAAAGGAATTTTCTAGTAAGTACCTTTTTAATGACAATTAAACAGTTTCTTTTTATCTATGATGCCTTTCAAATAGGATGGAAGCTGATTAAAAATCTTAATCCATGTAATAAACACCTTTTTGATAGATAGACAATCTTGGCTGTGGGAAATGAAAATTATTTTTGCTTCTGGTATTTATACTATGCAAATCTGTGTTGATTTTAAATAACTCTCTATTATTTGATACAAAAGTTAATAATGAAAATATGAATCGGGAATATAATGGTAATATGTCCAAAAACTTAAACAGTTCTATACATGAGTCTTTTTTACTTGAATTAGTGATACCGTATTTACGCATGTATAGGCCGCACATTTTTTGTCAAAAATTCAAGAGGAAAACTGGGGTGCGGCTTATATTCGAAATATTCGAAATCACACTTCATTTAAAAAAATATATGCATAATTAGTAATACAGAGTGTAATACTCCTGAAATAATATTCCAAGAAAATTATTTTTTCTATAATTTCTGTCTGAAAATTGTGCTGCGGCCTCTACATGCGTAAATACGGTAATTCTTATTACCCTTTTTTTGCATAAATATACTGCCACTATAAGGAGAAGTCCCCCAGAAAATTAACACATATGTTAATTATCTTTAACAATGACACGTTCATACCTGTCTTTAAGATACGATTTCATTAGTGTATTAGCACTGCTTACAATTCCATAAAATTCCAATTTATTCAATAGAATGTCGTGGTAGACACAATCGAAGGCCTTTTATAAATCACAAAAAATACCCCCAACAAATGACTTATTATTTAATGCCTGCAGAATGTCATTTACTAAGATGAATGTTGCTTTTTGTGTAGAGGAGTTGCTTATAAACCCAAACTGTTCTGTAGATAATATATTGTGGGAACATCCCACATTATCAGAGTCAAGAGTCAGAGTCACGTTGCAACTGACGGTCAGTCAGTCTGTCTGTCTTGGTGTCGAGCCCCAGCTGGGGCTCATGACCAGATATTTCTCTTGAATGAAAGTTACTGTCTTGTCTATGTGTAGCGCCCTCTCTGACGATAGGTCGGGTCTGTCATTTGTTAGTCAGTCTGTAGTAATTTGTCCATTGTCTGTATTTACACATACAGTAAAACTTGGTTATAGCAACATCGGTTTCTGCGACACCTTGTCTATTGCGTCAAATATTCAATTGTACGAACTAATTCCTCATAAAGCAACTGTTTTTATACCTTGCTTAGTACGACATGCACAAATGCATCAACCTCGTATGTAACGTCATTTTCATTCCTGAATTTCTCTGATATCGTGGGAAAGTTCGATGTGTCTGCCCACCCTCACTTTCTCTACTTGCTGACGTGACTGTCCTGGAAGAATACGACCGCGGGCTGCAAGAGGAGCGTGGGTTTTATGCGAAAACAAGGGTGTGGGGTGGGACTGCGTGAATAGTGCAAGAGGACGCGGCAGGTTGTTAACTGCATTCCTTTCCTAGAATCTCGTCTAACAGGACCTCACATTGTCTACTTACCCTATAGTGTTCCTGCCTAAACCCAGAGAAGTGCAGTAGCGAAAACATGGCAATGAAAAGGAAAGTTTTAAGCATTGAAGAGAAAGTTAAAGTGATTCGTGAAATATTGTGTGTATTGTCAGTGAAAAGCGCTGTAATATGTCTTTGATATTACACATTTGGGCAATTCCACGTTAATGTTACGTTAGTCTGTACTTAACTACGTATTTCACTAAAAAATGCAACATTTTAACTCGGTTTTTGGTAGATTTTTACGTGACTAACATAAGGCTACTGTGGAAGTGCCCATTTCGGTTACAACGACATTCGTTTATAACGACACTATTTTTAGGTCCATTTGATGACGTTATAACCAAGTTCTACTGTATTTACAATACACACTTATTTCTTATTTAAAAGTATAATATATACACGGCCTCTGTCAGTCCAGGCTAGGTACAGCAGATTATGCCCTTTTATATATATACATATACATCCTAGTAGTATTTGCTACCACGGCAGTCTAGTCACTTGAACGGTCGTATGCCTGACCGCCGCCAAGTTTAAGCCTCTTATACTTTCTGTGTCTGACTTCGCCTTATCCGATGTTGCGAACATTCCCTTTATCATGATTTTGTATGACTTCTGCTTGTTGCCTGCATAATTTTGTTATGTAATCATATACGTATGGAATTTTGAATGCCATGTGCAAATCGCGGACCGGTGTGCGCCTTGGAAAATTGCAAATCGTGCGGAGAACCTTGCTTTGCAGGCGCTGCAATTTCACTAGATGGGTGTCTGCCGCAAACTCCCAGGCGGGACTAGCATAAGTCATTGCGGATCTAATAATAGCTTTATGGAGGGCCAGTTTAATGTTAGCGCTCAATCGCTCATTTTTGAATAGGGAATACACTCTAATGAATGTTCTGAAGGCCTTGGCTTCGATCATTTCTATGTGTAATCTCCAAGTCACTCTCTTATCGAAGATTACACCTAGATATTTTGCACTATTTACAAATGGAATATTTCTTCCATTTAGAGTAAGACAAGACTCAGGCGGTCGACGACCACGAGAGAAGTAGACCCCCCGAGTCTTATCTTCATTAATTTTTATATTCCAGCGCTCACACCAGGTC